AACGCGGTCTTCAACCATATTGTGCTGCGGCTCGTCGACTTTGGCGTCTCGGTCGTTGACGACGGCCATCCGCTCCTGACCGTACGTTCGAGGGCACGATGTAGGAAGATCGGTAATGTGACGCGCCGATGTAGACAGACATGGCGGGCGGTCTCTTGACGGAGGTCCCGTACGAGTACGAAGACGTGTTCGAGCTCGCGACCAAGACCAACGTCGAGGTTCCGACGTTGACGCAGATGAAGAAGCTGCTGCTGGCGGCCGCCGAGACCAAAAAAACGGGCCGGATCAGCGCGGCGGCGCTGCACGCAGCCATTCAACCCAGCGCCGAGAGTCGAAAGCACTCGCGCACGTTTGTGCTCAAGGTCCTCGTCACGATCCTCATGACTATTTGGTTGATCCACTCGCTCATGTAAAACCAACACAAATCCAATATCATCGTTGAGCTTTTGCACGAATCGTTGAGCTTTTGCACGAATTTTGTAACAATTAATAGATAGATAGATAGATAGATAGATAGATAGATAGATAGATAGATAGATAGATAGATAGATAGATAGAAGATCACATCGTTTGGCCGGATGCGAGGATTATGCCGCTTGACACAGACATCCCCTTCTTCAGTGGTTAGGGGTGGTGGAAGACGGCGACAATTGCATCGTTGGGAAATGCAGAGCCCAGGGCACCGAGCGAATGTTCATCGCTGCTACCTTCACGAGATCACAGTTGAGTTGGGCCGTGAAGCGTAGTGAGTTATCGCCGGAACCTCGTTTTGTTGGATTGGCGTCCAAAACCCTCGTACTATTCTATTGTGTGGGCAACAACAGCGGTATTGATCGGTCGCCGCAGGCTGCACATACTTGTGCGACTCGGGCGAGACTGCATAAATAGACCGCGAGGAGGACTTTTCGCTCTACTGGTGTGACTCAGAGCCATGGTATGATTGAACCGAGCGATCTAATGGCGGCAGCGCCGACCAGCAACGGTCCAGAAATCACGCAACTTTCCAGGGCCATTTCGATGTTAACCGAGTTCGAGTGCAAAAAGTGGCGTAGCTCGTTTCCTCTTCTCCGGTCCTATTTTATAAGGTGCAGTTGACCCAGCATCGCAGAAAGAAGGTCATATAGCAGCAACCGAGCGACTCCCACGCAACCTTCCAGGCCGTTTTAATTTCTGTCTAGATGGACCAAGGTCGGTTTCGGCCTCCTTCGAGTCTTCTTTCCCATGCCTTTATATGTCGATGGAGTGTTTTTCTCGTCGAGTGTCCTGGTTGCTATGTTCTGTCAACCAGCCTCCACGTCTGTGCGCCACGTTGAGGTGCCAAGAGCCAGCTGCGTTGGGTTGTACGCCCGTTCTATGGCGCTGCCACGTCATTATGACGCATTTTTCATTTTGCAATCAACAGCGAACATGGTTGACAGCAGCACCAGCTTGACGGCGCGCATCGCGGCACTTCACGACACGCCAGGAGCCCAAGTCGTGCACGAGATGGAGGCGATTGCGGACGCATTGGCCGCCAAGGAGGAGGCGCTGCGGATGCAGGAAGTGCGCATCGCCGCCCAGCTCGAATTGCTCCAGCGCCTCGACACGCCGCGTCGTACCAAGATCGACAGTGCCCCAACAACCAAGATGGTCACACTCAATGTTGGTGGTACATTGTTTAAAACCGCGCGCGAGACGCTGCTACGCGTGCCAGGAAGCTACTTTGAAGCGATGCTCTCCTCGGACACGTGGCGACCGAACGACGATGGTAATGTTGTCTGCTGTACGACGCGCATAACAGTGTTTAGGCGCCTACTTTTTAGACCTCGATGCTCGCCTCTTTGCGTGTGTCATGCGGTTTCTGCGCACAGGGACGCTTCCCTGCAGTGAGCTTGACGATGCCGAAGCGTCCGACCTTCGCGACATGTTGGACTATCTGCAAATCGGCTTTGAGAACGCGTCGCGCCCCGTCTTGTGCTGGGACCCGAAGCACTCGTCTCCGTGGCTCCTCTTTCACGGAAGCTCGACGTCACAAGTCAACTGGAAACCGAGCATCGTCATCGCGTCGACACCAGCAACCACGTTTGCTGTGCGTGTCCAGCTCGGGAGCTTGGTCGACGTCGGGTTTACCGTCTGGGAGCCATCGATGCCAGTGCCTGACCCGGCCAAGCCCATTCCCGGCTGGTTCTTCAAGTGCGAGAAGGGCGACATCTACTCGCAGCCCGAAAACCGGACAAACATCGTCCAGCATGACGCAACGGCGCCCTTGTGCTCGATTTTGCTCCAAATGACGTGGCATCACCGAGACAGGAGGGTCTCGTTCGCCATCAACGGCATCACGCTCCCCGCGCGCCTCGAGTGCGATCCAAAGACAGAGTGTCTGCTGTATCCTATGGCGCGCGTTTGTTTGGGCAGCGTTTGCATGGGCAGCGTTGAACTATTGCCGTTGTAACGCCCGCGTGAATGTTGACAAGCGGTTGCAGGTCGTTTTGTCCAAACCAAAACAGGTTTAGGGTTGTGGGTAAAAAGACTCTTACGCAACGTATTGTACACTTATCTACATCTCTATTGTTGTGTCTGCTTGGCCAGCTGTGCAAACGCACTTGCTTCGTTTGCAAGCAGCTCGCTCGGGGGTCCGTACTCGGCCACGCGACCGTCGGCCATCACCAGAATCTGGTCGCTGTCCAGAATCGTGTCCAGACGGTGTGCAATCACAAGCAGTGTCACGTCGTGACCAAAGCACTCCTTGATGGTTTCTTGGATGAGCCGGTCGGACGCCAAGTCGATGCTGGCCGTGGCTTCGTCCAGCAAGACGACGCGGCTCTTGCGCAACAAGGCGCGCGCGATGCAGAGCAGCTGTCGCTGGCCCACCGAGAGATTGCCGCCCTTCTCGGCGACCTCAAACTCAAGAGTTGAGATGGTGTCACCCAAGTGCACTTGCTTGAGCACGCTCCAGAGCTCGTCGTCGCTCGAGCCATTGGACGGATCCAAGTTGAAGCGCAGCGAGCCCGAGAAGAGGACGGGGTCTTGCGGGATGATGGTGAGCCGCGACCGCATCGTGTGCAAGTCGATGGATGCGAGGTCGACGCCGTCGATGAGGATGCGACCAGAGGCCGCCTCGACCATGCGGAAGAGCGCGACCATGAGCGAGCTCTTGCCCGAGCCAGTGCGGCCACAGATGCCGACCTTGGCGCCAGCCGGCACGGTAAACGACACGTCTTTCAGGACAAGGTCGAGGTGGTCGCGGTACCGCATTGCGTAGTGGTCAAAGGTGACGACGCCTTGGGTTGGCCACGACGCGTCGACGGTCGTCGTGACGACTCGTGTGTCACCTTCGGTCTCGAGGCTGTTGTACTCTTCGAGGCGCTCGACGGACGTCATGATGTTGTCCACAAGAGCGTAGACACCAGTGAGCGCGGAGAGCCCAGACGTCATCTGCGACGCATACGTCAGCGCAAGGCCGGCGGCGACGGGGCCAACCGCGTCCTTGCACGCGATAAGCAAGAAGGCGACAGCGGCGACCACGAGGCACGAGACCCAGTCGAGACGCATGGCGAGCCAGCGCGCAAGCATGCGGTACGCAAAGAAGAACCTGTTGTTGTCCGCAATCACGGCGCGGCTTTTGGCGGCAAACTCGCTGCTCATGCGGAAGGCGCGGATCGTCGAGAGACCGTGGATCGTCTCCGAGAGCACGTTGAGAACCGGCGAGCGCGTCGTCGCATCCATGCGCTTGAGGTCGCACGACGGCGTAACGTAGAGCCGCTGGATCCAGAAAAAGACGGCTGCGATCGGGAGATAGACGACGAGAATGAACGGCAGCGAGGCAGCGCAGACGACGACGACCGCGAGGACCTGCGCCAGCGTTTGAAGGAGGAAGAGAGCAAAGAGCGGCAGCTGCGAGTCGACTTGGTCCAAGTCGCTCGAGAACCGGTTGAGGATGCGGCCGACGGGCGTCACATCAAAAACGGTATTGACAGGCGCGCTGAGCACCTTGGTGAGCAGCGACGCGTGCAGTGCCTTGGAGCTCCGAAGCGAGAGCACGAGCAGGAAAAGACTGCGCCCCCAGATGATACCGAGCGAGCCAAATGCCATCGCGACAAAGAGGCTGGCAAAGCACAGCTGCGAGAGGTGGCCATCATGCGTCGACCAGTAGCCCATGAACCAGTCGCCCAATGTCACGAGCCCTTGCGTTATGCCAAAGAGGATCGCAATCGCAACGACCGTTGCGCTGCTGCTCCAGCCCGAGGAGCCAAGGTACGCCAGGTACGTTGTGGACGAGACACCGCCCGCTGCTCGTTCTTCGTCTTCGACGAGGCCTGAGGGTGTCTTGGTTCCCGTGGCGGCAACGACTTGACCGGCGTCCGTCTTGGTCACTGCCTCGCCTTCTGCAGAGCTCTGAAGGTCCGGAAACTGCGCCTTCACCACGTCAAACGGCCCGTCGGCCGCGATCGCGCCGTCCACCAAGACCACGACACGGTCCGCATGTGGCAGCAGATGGTAGTGACTGTTGAGCACCAATAACGTCGTCTTGCTCGCCAAGAGACCTTGCACGCAGTCCCGAAACACCGCGCCCGCCACGTGCACGTCCAGCGCGCTCAGTGGGTCGTCCAGCAAGTAGATA